AAAACACAGCCACATCAACTTTTGAAACTTACTTTGATCCGCAAGACCAAATAGCAGAAAGTAAACAGTACGAAACTAATGTAGAAAGCGACATAAAGTGCGCAAAACACGCGTCTCCTAGTGTGAAGAACAAAAGTATGTACAACGATACGAACTATTCAGAAAAACGTGCGACGAAAAATTCTGAAGATCCTAAACTTTCGGAAAATTATATTGCATTAAATGAATATACGAGATTCGTGCACTCAACCACGAATAATCAGAATACAAAGGACAATGTGAAAAACAGTACTGAAACAGACTTAACAAGGATTCAGGGCAGTCATAAAGAAACTTCACATAATGACAAGACATCAGAACTTGCAAGCAATCTGAGTTCAGTGCAAACTCCTCTATTCTGTACATCTTGTACATATTCTGTACATTCCACTTTACCCCAGCGACCGCTGAGTCTATAAGTTCATTCGTATATAATATTGAAATTCTTATTAAACTAATGTCTTACAAGCAGTGCACCCGTTCTGTATTTTAATCCTGTAAATTGGAACCGTTTGGTTTTTAACGTTTTTGGCCTCTATAATTCATTATGAATTACGTATATTCGCTTGGGGGTTGTTCTAAAGTTAAGCCTGTAAATTATTATCCATCTATTCGGTTTCTGTATAATTAAGTTAAAGAAAATTGTTAAGCCGAATTAATCTTAAAATTAGGGTTTCGCAGCTTTCTATTTGAGGAAAGTTTCTTTACGTTGCTGATATATATCTATATACGTATACAAAGTATGTGTAGAATGCAAGAGTAAATAACTCACCAACGATGAGAACTGTTTATTATTTTTTCAAAATAACTCTCCTTTTCTGTTGATAATTCATAGAGTAGTAAATATATTTGTGAAAACAAAATAAAAAGTTTTTTTTTTCTTGTTTGATTCTGAAATTCTGTACTCACAAGGTGTTCATACACATTCCTTATGTTGCATTTATATTTCACACAAAACGTATAAGCCATAACATTCTCTTATTGTCCTTATCTATTGTATGCTGCGTTTCTTAAATTATTTCGGTGTTAACAAACCTTTTTAATGGAAACAAAATTTCCCTGGCAACTAACTCTACCTCTTAATTTACAATACACAATAGAACACTTACAAAAACTTTCACAATTAGTTTACGATTACAATTTGTACTAAAAAATGTGACTAATAACGTAAATAGAAAATAATGAGTTATGGTGGTGATGTACGGAGACAAAAATGGAATTAATGATGAATCTCTAAGATTAGGTGGTGGATACAACTGATAGTTATAGTAAATATACATTTACGTTGAACTTAGTTGTGGTTTACCCAGGAGACAATGTTGAGGTACACATTTGGGGGTAGTGGAAATGCGCAAAAAATGTTGTTCACGATATAGACAGAAGATAGTGGTCGTTTACATAAAAGATGAGCACGATATACAAAAGAAACTGCAGTAATGTATGGAAAAGAAAAATTACGGTAAATATTTGTAATAATTTTGGTATACATAAGAAGTGACGGTCGTTTACACAGAAGCTGTTGGGAATGTAATTAAGATATATATTTAGAAGACGGTGGTCCACACAAGAGATACCAATGACTTACATTTTATGCTATTATTACAATACTATTATAGCTGAAAAATTTCAACGGTTATTCAGTATTTGGGCATATATAAAATTAGCATAACAAAGCATATATTGATTCTCCTGTAACTCAGTTTTATGTATGTGTGTATATATGGCAGATCTTTAGTTGAACGAGCCAACCGGTGGCTGCATGAGAGACCACATTTTTACGTAGTGAGCTGTGAAACTGTTTTGTTCAAACTAAGTGCTCCTGAAGTGAACTGCAATGCAAGTGTTTACAAGTGTTTGCAACTCCCAGTACCCACTGTGGAGCGTTCGACGTCTGAGGTAAAGAGATTACGAATTCTGTTTTTTGTTCTTGTCTTCGTAATAGTTTACTGCAACTATGAGCATGGGGAACAGTGTCTTCTTAAAATATTTCATGTGATGGTGCTGTATATTCTCTGTTTAGTAACTGCTTCATGATGATGGCGTTATGTATAATCGTATTTCAATAAATGTTTCATAGTAGTGGTATGAATTTTTCAAAGAACTGTGGTATAGTTAAAGGCTTAATAATGTAAGATATGTCGTTTGTTTTGATCAAATTAATTCTAAGCAAAATGATCTACATTATTCTAACATTACCTCAAAGTGTATAAACGTTATATCATTATATATATATATATGTTTTATTTCCAGAGTGGTTTAAAAATTAAGTACTTGCGATTTGTTTCATCATTTATGTTTGCCTTGCTAAAGGTTTCTTTTTTGACGAAATCATGACTCCGAATGTCCTTTATAACGTCAATACTGTACAGTGTAACATGATAAGATAAAAGCCTCTCGAAGAGCATTTCATCATAATTCAAATGCCAACAACATGTTACCCAGATATCTTACTCTAACCTACTGGGTTTGATCTATTCTGCCACTCACTATTATAAAAATGTATCCTGAAATTACGTGACATTTTCATGTTACGAAAAACTTAAACTATGCATGTAAGTGCTTACGACAAAATAAAGATAATCGTGTCAAGTTTTTTCTGTAACACGCGACCCCAGATGGCTGAGTTGTAAGTCTGCAAACATATAACGCTAGAAAATACCAACATTTCCTGGTCAGTCTCAACGTCAAAATGTAAACACTTTTGGATGAATCTTTAGTTTTTTTTTCTCCTCAAGGAAACATAGGTAATTGGAAGGCATGACAATTTTTTTTACATCCTACACAATGTATTTCACTGCATCTGTGCATGTGCCAGTAAATGCTCTCTACAACTTAAGTACATTATGTTCATATTGCTCTTTCAGTTAGAGTTTATATTTTTCATTTGTGTAACATTATGTGTAAACAAACACTGAATTTATTACGAGACACTTTAACACAGATATTCCAACAATGATAAGGTAACATGTGATGTATTATCGTTTACACATGTGCAAAGAACGTCACATTTTATTATATGTTTGTCAGTAGCAATCAGCGTTCAATCTCAAATATAACAGATTTTTAGCAAGTACACTCGAAGCCTCACTAAAGATCATAGATGAGATAATTATGAATCTGGCTTAAGCGTTTATGATAAACATGAGAGTAAAAACAAATGAACATTTAAAAACGTTACTAAAACATAGACGAGACAGTCTTATATTTACCCAGACTTACTTGAAAATTCATATATGTTTGTTTGTTTGTTTTTAATTTAGCAAAAATCTACAGGAGAGCCAACTTCACTGGCTGTCCCTTATTTAACAGTGATAGACTAGAAGGAAATTCATATACATCAACAAATTTTGTCTCGATAAGGAAGATATATAAACTTAAAAGATCAAACAATTGATTAATGCTGACGTTTATTGTATATATTAGAAATGACAAACTTTTTCACCATTAGAATTGATATGTGCAATCATAGCTTGCTTTTTCTCAGGATGTGATGGTTTTGAAAAGGACCTTTAAATTTCAATCATTTAAACAAATAATTTTCTTAATAATAATAATATCCCTTGTCTTCACTATCTTCAGGAGGAGCCCTCATTTGAAATACATTATGTCTACTCTGTATAACTCAAAGTGCCCAGTGTAGTAATAATGAGGGAATATTTAGATGTTCAATTAACTGGCTGTGTAAGTAAAACACATCTCTTTAAACAAAACAGATAAGACACACATCAGAATGATTTATATGGAGATGATGATCATATAATTGAATATTTTGAAAATATTCACCACAAAGTATACATTCATCACTCATGACTGTAAGTTTGTACATTAATTTTACACACGTATATATATGCACACAAGCTTTTTATAGTGCATTTAAATACCTAAAGGTACAACTTATTAAATACATGGTGATTTATTTTAACCTGTACTTACATACAGTAAGGTCATTTCGAGAATTTGTAAACATCAGTTGTTTCTTTACTCTATAATTAGATATGGTGGCTTTCATACAACCACGGTTATAATTGCCATCCATTAGTGTCAATAATTAATGTCCTGCCCTGATTGTAGACAGATGAAATGTAAACTCCTATACAAGTCTTTTTATACTTCTCCCACTAGAAGTTGACAACGCTATGTCCTGCTTTTACTCTATAGTGATTTTCTATTATATGATATTACATACACAACTGCTGTTTCTTTAAACTATAATTATGCTATATGATCACATTCTTTTTAAACTATAATTCTCTCCAATCATTGTCAATAATTGGCATCACATCATGAGAATATGTCATTAACTACTATAATTAGATATAGCTGATTAATGTGAAACTTAAACCATGCTATAATTATTATGAATAATTGACGTCACATCATGATAATCTGTCATCACATACTATAATTAGATATGATTGATTCATGCAAAACTTGCTTATAGCTATTGTAAATAACTATCGTTAAAAATGGTTAAACCACCTCGACTTCTCCACCATAGTTCCTATACAATTACTAGTATATTTAGCTTCCAGCTGCAATGATTGCTTGTGTCGTGTAATTAAGCATACTATGAAAAAGCCATTGAAAGTGTTATGGTGTGACTGAGTAATTAACAAATTTTAGTTTCTTTTGTCAGACTTTTTTTTCACTAACACAGGAATCCCTAGTAGAGAGATGTTGATTGGCTTTTCTCACCACAATGTATTCTGTAGCACTATCAAAATTCAGATGACAGGTAGTTGTTTTACACAAAAATACCTTTCATACAAATAAAATTCAAAACTCTAGACAATGTTTAATCAACATATCTAAGTATTTCAAGCGATATTTAGCTGTAGTGTATTTGACTTTTTTATTCATTTTGTATTACTCAACTGTCAAAATATTCATGTACACTAAACAATAATACGCTTCTGTCTGATTTACTTTGTTCTTGATTCCAGGCTATGGGTATCTCCTGCCAATAAAGACAAGACCAAAGTTTCTTGTTCTATAAGTTACCTTAACCAATTACCAAAAGAAATGAATGAAAATGCTAATAGATGTCAAAAATGACACTTTGAACCACTTTCTAAAGTAGTGGAAAGTTTTAACTTTTCAGTAAAATCTGGAAATATTCAAGGTAAGTTGACGTTACGATAATGATAACAAATAAAAGAGTGTAATGATTATTTGCAAATGGATATGAACGTGATGAAATATCCATGAAACTTGGTCACTGTTAGTTCTCTTTTCACTTTTATTTCATCAAAACGTTTGAATTTTTTTAACAAAACAGTATCCCTGAACATATATTTTACAACGTTTTGTATAATGCCTAGGGTTCAGTTTACTAGTTAATAATTAAAAACGTATTATTTTCTACTAAACAGATAATTTTTTTTTGCTAACCTCCAGATTAATATTAAGAGAATGGACTTTATGTAACTTATTCATATGTAACATCAGCAAATGTATAAGGAAACGTAATTTTATTTACAATGTTTGACTTACAGTGATAGAATATCTCCAAATAATGTTTTTCTGAGTTTATTTTTGTTATGATGCTCAGGAAATCTGTTAGCAGCAGAAACATTTGGAAGTGTCTAACATAAAAAATGTCGAAAATATAGAGACAAATGAATGTATCTGGACAAGTTCTACTTCATCTTCAGACAAAGAAATAATTTTCATGTTGCGCGTGTATTATCTTCAAAATTATACAAACACACCTTGTGAGCCATTAGGTATGTATGTCAAGATTGCTTTCTGCTTTTCGATCATCCAGCTAGTTCATGAAAATGTATAATGAGATGTGAAAGACTTATATAGGTGAAACATTACCAACTTTAACGGTGGAAAACAGCGTGTGTGGTCAAGGAGACAAAGCAAGCTAGCTTTCCAGTGAACCGTATTTACATGAACCCGCTCATCGTAAACCCTCGATAAGATATCAAGGAAGTTCCAGACTAGAAAGAAAACTTTATATTGTTTGTAAGTTTGTGAAACTTTTGTTTATGAATAACTATAAATATAACTAACGCGACGCGCCAAGGGAGTGTCTATTATTAGTTCGCTATAATCAGCATACTATAAGCTCCGAAAACTATCATTGTGATTTTTAGAACGTTTATCAATCGGAAAAGTTGTTTGTAATAACTATTTGTAATAATTTTTATTGTAAATTGTACTGTTGTGTGCATAATAAAACGTATTTGTGTTAAAAACAAAAACGGTGTGTGTCAACCTTGTTGGCAAATATCGTAAATTGACTAATATATCGGCATACATTTAAATACTAAATCCAAAGTACAACTTAACTACTAAATTTAAATTATCAGTTAACTCAGTTTCAGACTATTTGAAATTCTAATACGTAACATAATAAATTGGGGGCTCGTGTCCGAGATTTAAATCAAGGATGAAATTCGATCTAAATTATAATTTAAATTGAATTTATATTTATCAGTGCCAACAAGATTTGATCATGTCGGATTATCAAGATTTTCTTGTATCACCCTCCCTAGAACAACTAGAAAATACAACAAAACAGGATTGCTCGAAATTGCCAAAGTTTTAGAACTAGAAGTTAAAAGGTCAATGAGAAAAAATGAACTAAAAAAGCGTATTATCGAAATACCAGTCGATGATGATTTGTTGCCTGAGGAAGCATTAGGGGAATACTCTAGTGTCACTACTAGCCAATCGGTATTGAGTGATAAAGATTCAGCTAAAACTCAAACAAATCGAGCTCGAACAAACTCATATTGAAGCCGAGAAAGAACGAGCTCGTATTGAAGCCGAGAACGAACGAATTCGTATTGAGGCCGAAAAAGCTAGTATTGAAGCAGAAAATGAAATTAGGTTGAAATAAATGGAAATTAGACTCAAAACTGATCGACCAAAGCAAAATGAAAACTTTGAACTTAATCGATATGTTAAATACCATCGTTCAATGAAAACGAAGTAGATAAATATTTCTAACATTTTGAGAAGGTTGCCAAAACTATGGAATGGCCCACCGAAAAATGGTTATTATTATTACAAAGTGTCTTAACTGGTAAAGCACAAGA